CTGATTTCTTTGTTTCTTCCAGGCTGCAGCGCGGCATCAGTGTTCCACGCTGGTCTGTCAGCATGTGCAAGAGTTCGAGCAGATTGGCGTGTGTTCTGATTGGTTGAGAGGTCTGGAGTTCTGCCCACAACGACTTCGCAACCTCAATGAGATTAACAAGATCCTCGCGCATAGACCTTGGCTTATTACCAAGCAACACATACAGGTAACATACTAGCTTTCTTGTTTATTGCTCAAGATACACTAGGGCTACATGGTATATCAAAATAAAATCATGATTTTAGGGTTTAGTTCGATTGTCAAATCGTGCAGACTGTGATTTAATTATATAAATATGTGCATTAACTTAATGGCACTGCTCACAAATTATTATTTTATAGTCATATTATATTATATAAATGGTCAAAAACAGCAGGAATGTGCCCTATGAAAACTCAGTGTAGAGATATTTTTAAAACTATTTTTTAAATTTGAGTCAGTTCTTGTAAAGCATAAACCCAAGTGTGAACCCATTTTTTAAAACCCACATTTTTACAAATTTGTCTCCCCCCCCCAATTGTTCAGGCCTAAAAGAGTGTTTCACACTCAAAAACACATTATTTTAAATTATTATTGTATAAATTATTAGTTTAATTTTGCACTCCATGACAAAATAACTCCACTCATTCTAGAATGATTAACTCTTTCCGAACATAGCTTATTCAAGTCATCTGGTAAACATTTCTGTATTTTTATATATATTGCAGAAAAATACCACAAAGTCATATTTATTCCAATATCGTGTAGCCCTAGTATACACAGAACTGTTGTAGTTTTATGCAAGCATTATGGAACAAAGTATCTCAAACAGTTGTGCACCACATTTGCTGTCACTGTGTTTAATTCAAAGCATGCAAAGAGTATCATCATGTAAATAAAAGCAGTGCATTTTCAATCCAAAAGTCAAAATATGATGTTACTACCTTTGCATTCCACACTCACCTTGAAAATCAAGTCAATGCACTTTCATTGTGGGATACATTCCATGTAGCAAACTATGTTTTATACACTGCACACACACTGTTTTGGGAAATACATGTTGAAAAATGCATACTGCACATTTACTGTAGAAATAATAGCGTACTGTGGTAGCCATCTAGCGTTATATAACCCCATGTAGGTGAACACATATACAGTGTCTTAAACTGGAGTCTTCATCAGTGTTGTATTGTTCATTATAGTTGTTTAAATCCTTTCTACATCAGATATGAATGAGTTTACACTCTCTGTTTCTCAGGCTCTGGTGAAGACAGGAGAACACAGCTGGTCTCTGGCAGAGCTGGTTCATGCGGTCGTACTGTTGGCACATTTCCATGCCTTGGCTAGTTTTGTGTTTGGTAGCGGTGTCAACCCTGACCCTGAGGTCACAGAGGTCAACGGGGTCACGGATGACCTTTGCCCTCCAGCCATGGCAGGTTTATGCACCTGCCACCTAACAAACAGCAACCAAGCCAACGGGAACCCCCTGCGTAACCCTGACACTGGGGTAGGAAAACATTACAATGTGTCCATGTGTTGTTTTTGTATTTTTATATCAGGAAAACATGTTCAGATCGCATTTCATTTCAAGTAAAAAAAATTTAAATACATACAGAAAATGACCACTAAAATTTTTTTTTATAAATAAGTTTATATAAAATATATAAGTAGTATATAATTTTTAACTCCATTTTTGTGTATTTAGAGTGAGCTGGAAGCGCTGATGGAGAGAATGAAGCGATTGTTGGAGGAGAGAGAAGATGATGATGCGTCAGAGGAGGAGATGTTCACTCGCTTTGAAAAAGAAAAGAAAGAGAGTCTTCTAGTGGTGTCTGCAGGTATTACAACACAGATTCTTCCTACCCGACTGCTCTTTTTCAGTTCATAGTACATCTTTTCTTTCATAATAACCTCTAAATATATTTCAATTAAAACAGTACCATACTGTTTCTCTTTCTTTTTGTTTTGTCATCTTTTGTTTCTCGTTCAATTTAGTTTTTTTTTTCTTTTCAGTTTTTCCTATTTTCCTTCACTTTTGGTTGAGGGCTTGTGGCATTTCGTGAATTAAAGGGATAAATTACCAAAATGATAATTCTGCCATTGTGTACTCAGTCACATGGTGTTCTAAATCTGTATGAGTTTATTTGCCATTTGTCATAAATGACATCAAACTAAGCATGACCAGTCGACATGCCGTATTTGGACCATTCCTTGAAAACAAGAAAGGATCTAGCAATCTTTAGTTTTCAGTGCATGTATTAAAATGTTGTGATTTTCATATGCAGGGTTTGCTGAGGAAGTGGTGCCTCCTTCTCCCGTGGCTCGGTTTGTAGACGACCCGTCATTTGGATACCAAGACTTTGCGCGGCACGGAGAAGACAACCCACCCACTTTTAAAGCACAAGTACGAGAAACACCCTCAGATATACACATATAGGGCATCATTATTCTTTTTTATACTCTGTTTATGATGAATGATTGATCATTCTGTCTTGTTCACTTTGTAGGACTACACATGGGAGGATCATGGTTTCTCTCTGGTGAACAGGTTGTACTCTGACATCGGTCACCTGTTGGATGATAAGTTCAGAACAGCATGTGATCTTACCTATTACAACATGGCCAGTCACGAGGGGGTGGACACCAGCATGCTGCGCAGGGCTCTCTTCAACTACGTCCACTGTATGTATGGAATAAGGTACGTCTACGAGAACAGGCGACACTCATGAAACTCTGCTAATGAAAAATAATTAGCAGCCTAACATCACGAGCCAAATAAAAACAAAAAAGTTAGGCTGTTAAAAATCATGGTGGACAATTCTTTGTCACACAGCAAATGAAAGGTCAAGTCAAGCACATTGCATTCTGGGATACAGTATTACACAGTGTGCTCTAGTGTTATTTTAGTATTATTTATATTTTATATCCTATCATTTACATGCGTCAGTTATCTTGTATTTTCATCATTTTAATTTTAGTTAAAATTTTAGTAATTTTGTTATTTCCTTTTGTCATTTTTATTAGCTTTCGGGGTTTTCATTTCTATTTAGATTGTGTTTATTTTATTTCAGTTTTTGTTTTAGTAATTTTAGTTCTTCAGCTTAAACTTATTCCATTTCAGTTAGTTGCAAAAGCAGCATTTCTAATTCTAGTTTTAAGGCCCGTTCACACCAAGAACGATAACTATAAAGATAAAGATATTAGCGTCGATATTGTCTGTTTATTCTAAGCGCACGCTCATCTGCCGCTTTAAATTCTCCAGCTCTTTATAGCAGGATGGATTCTGATTGGGTGTCAATAGCCGGGTTTCCATTCAAAGTTGCAAATTTAACTTATGCGCAAAACTGGAATATCGCATAAAACATTTGCGAACCAGCATCGTTTCCATCCAACAAGTCAAAGAGAACAAAATCGTCACTTCCTGATAAACTGGCACTATAAATCACTAAGAAAAGTAGGAGAATATAATAATTTTCATATATAATAAATTACTTGCGCCTCAGAGCGAGACATTTCTGGGAGGCAATTATACAGAAATACTTTGATGACAGACTTTGCTCGTGCATTTCCGAATGACCATAACAACATTTCAGATGCTGTGGAATGAGATCGGTCCGCTGGTTAGTCAGGTTTTGCCGTCCCACAGCTCAAAGTCACATGACTTTTTTGATGCGCTTGGAGGAATTTATTCACGAAATGCATTTCCATCTCCCATTATTCGCATCAACTCTTTTTCGCACAAGTCAAAAAACATCTCAAACGAGCGTAAAAACTTTTTTGCGAATTAAGGGATTTTTATTCGAAATTTGGCGTTTCCATCACTCGTTTCTCATACGATACTTCAAAATGCGCATTAAAATAGAGTGATGGAAACATAGCTAATGTTTGTATCGTTCATCAGCTGGAAAAAAATCGTTCTGAAAGTGATTCCAATGATATCGCTTCTCTGTGCCTTTATCGTTATAGTTGTGGTGTGGACTCTGCTATTCTTTAATATTCAGAACGATTTTTAGAACTATATCTTTATCATTATCTTTATAGTTATCGACCTTGGTGTGAACGGGTCTTTAGACATATTTATTTTAATATTATATTCTATTTATGTTTCAGAATTTTATTTCTGTATTTCAATGATTTTTAACAGTTTTAACAATAACATCAATGGCGTGCTCTGTTGTATACATAAAATTTTGTCAAATGTCATCTGGGTCTTCCATGCATACAATTACTGTACACTGCAGAAATAGTAGTATGTGACTGTAGTACACAGTATGTACACCCATAGCGCCCCCTAGTGCACTAGCACAGGACGACCAGAAGTACTGAAATCCAGTCTTTCCTGCCTAGTATTGAAAGATGAACATTAACACTGTGTCTGCAGATATGACGATTATGACTACGGTGAGGTGAATCAGTTGTTGGAGTGCAGTCTGAAGGTTTACATCAAAACAGTGACGTGTTATCCAGAGAGAACCACGCGCCGCATGTACGAGAACTACTGGCACCAGTTCAGACACTCCGAGAAGGTGAGTCATATCATCATGTCAAATATATATTTTTATCTCATTTAATCAATTTTTTAAAATTGATTTATTATTCATTTATGATTGAAAATATAGTTTCAAAAAGTATATGAAATATACTGATATTCTCTTTCTCTTTCCTTCCTTTATCCAGGTTCATGTGAATTTGCTTCTAATGGAGGCTCGAATGCAGGCAGAGCTGCTCTATGCTTTGAGAGCCATCACTCATTATATGACCTGACCAATCAGACTTCGCCATTTATATGACCCGACCAATCAAACCTCACCCACAATATATGGACATCATTATTATACCTAAATTCAACTAAAAATGTTATTAGCAATTACTTTTGCGTATTGAATTCTTATAATTGTGTCCAAAATTGTGTGTACTTAGACTGTTCTGAGTGACAACTAAATGAAGAACACTGAATACAGAGTATAATCCCAAATATCAAAATGGGATCTAATGGCATGTTCAAAAAAATATTCATAAAGAATTGTGGGTGGGCAGTCATGACTTTATCTTTCATGGTCAGACAAACCCCAACATTAAAACAGACTCAAATCCTTGGACTTGACCTGATCAATCAGACAACATCATGACTTGACAAATCACGTTAACGTGCAATATTTTTTCCTCACTGAAATCTCACTTATACTGTAAGCTGAAATACTGGAGGACTGAGTTCACATTTTGAAACAGGAAGTTGTCTTTTTTTCTTTTTTGCACATCTGTATTTTGGAACAGAGTACAGTTTTCCTTTTGTAATATCAATAATAGAATGTGAGACTCCTGTATGGAGAGAAAAATTCTTTTTTTTTTGTTAAATCCCTGTGCCTTTTTTTCTTTCACGTACCTTGTTTATTTCATATTGAATGTATTGTTTAGATTTTTTGCAGTTTGTTTCTAGGCTTTTCTCAGATCAATTTGGTTTGGTTTAGTTGTTTACCTGGAAGCTTTTGTAGCATTATTACTGTACTATCAGTCCTTTACTATTTCCTTTCCTTTCAGCCTCAGTGTTATACTTTAGATAGCAACATACATTTTTAATATACATGTTGCTGCAATAGCTCTACTAATCACATCTCATGATTTTATTTCCGTGTGAGTGCGTGTGAGAGCTTTAACATGAAGCTGAAGTATTTGCACATCTGTTGCACATCTTTTTCATTGGTGTGCCTCTGTGAAAGAAACCCATGCACAGGAGCATGAGAGAGTTCATGTGTGTGAGTGATTGCCTGTAGGGAGCTACTTTTGATACTATTGATGTGATCATTACTGTCCATCAAACCATTTCTCAAAGGTTTATTTATATCGCTCTAAGAATCATTGCTTCATATTTGCACATGTTCTGATTGGTTGAGAGGTCTGGAGTTCTGCCCACAACGACTTCGCAACCTCAATGAGATTAACAAGATCCTCGCGCATAGACCTTGGCTTATTACCAAGCAACACATACAGGTAACATACTAGCTTTCTTGTTTATTGCTCAAGATACACTAGGGCTACATGGTATATCAAAATAAAATCATGATTTTAGGGTTTAGTTCGATTGTCAAATCGTGCAGACTGTGATTTAATTATATAAATATGTGCATTAACTTAATGGCACTGCTCACAAATTATTATTTTATAGTCATATTATATTATATAAATGGTCAAAAACAGCAGGAATGTGCCCTATGAAAACTCAGTGTAGAGATATTTTTAAAACTATTTTTTAAATTTGAGTCAGTTCTTGTAAAGCATAAACCCAAGTGTGAACCCATTTTTTAAAACCCACATTTTTACAAATTTGTCTCCCCCCCCCAATTGTTCAGGCCTAAAAGAGTGTTTCACACTCAAAAACACATTATTTTAAATTATTATTGTATAAATTATTAGTTTAATTTTGCACTCCATGACAAAATAACTCTTTCCGAACATAGCTTATTCAAGTCATCTGGTAAACATTTCTGTATTTTTATATATATTGCAGAAAAATACCACAAAGTCATATTTATTCCAATATCGTGTAGCCCTAGTATACACAGAACTGTTGTAGTTTTATGCAAGCATTATGGAACAAAGTATCTCAAACAGTTGTGCACCACATTTGCTGTCACTGTGTTTAATTCAAAGCATGCAAAGAGTATCATCATGTAAATAAAAGCAGTGCATTTTCAATCCAAAAGTCAAAATATGATGTTACTACCTTTGCATTCCACACTCACCTTGAAAATCAAGTCAATGCACCTTCATTGTGGGATACATTCCATGTAGCAAACTATGTTTTATACACTGCACACACACTGTTTTGGGAAATACATGTTGAAAAATGCATACTGCACATTTACTGTAGAAATAATAGCGTACTGTGGTAGCCATCTAGCGTTATATAACCCCATGTAGGTGAACACATATACAGTGTCTTAAACTGGAGTCTTCATCAGTGTTGTATTGTTCATTATAGTTGTTTAAATCCTTTCTACATCAGATATGAATGAGTTTACACTCTCTGTTTCTCAGGCTCTGGTGAAGACAGGAGAACACAGCTGGTCTCTGGCAGAGCTGGTTCATGCGGTCGTACTGTTGGCACATTTCCATGCCTTGGCTAGTTTTGTGTTTGGTAGCGGTGTCAACCCTGACCCTGAGGTCACAGAGGTCAACGGGGTCACGGATGACCTTTGCCCTCCAGCCATGGCAGGTTTATGCACCTGCCACCTAACAAACAGCAACCAAGCCAACGGGAACCCCCTGCGTAACCCTGACACTGGGGTAGGAAAACATTACAATGTGTCCATGTGTTGTTTTTGTATTTTTATATCAGGAAAACATGTTCAGATCGCATTTCATTTCAAGTAAAAAAAATTTAAATACATACAGAAAATGACCACTAAAATTTTTTTTTATAAATAAGTTTATATAAAATATATAAGTAGTATATAATTTTTAACTCCATTTTTGTGTATTTAGAGTGAGCTGGAAGCGCTGATGGAGAGAATGAAGCGATTGTTGGAGGAGAGAGAAGATGATGATGCGTCAGAGGAGGAGATGTTCACTCGCTTTGAAAAAGAAAAGAAAGAGAGTCTTCTAGTGGTGTCTGCAGGTATTACAACACAGATTCTTCCTACCCGACTGCTCTTTTTCAGTTCATAGTACATCTTTTCTTTCATAATAACCTCTAAATATATTTCAATTAAAACAGTACCATACTGTTTCTCTTTCTTTTTGTTTTGTCATCTTTTGTTTCTCGTTCAATTTAGTTTTTTTTTTCTTTTCAGTTTTTCCTATTTTCCTTCACTTTTGGTTGAGGGCTTGTGGCATTTCGTGAATTAAAGGGATAAATTACCAAAATGATAATTCTGCCATTGTGTACTCAGTCACATGGTGTTCTAAATCTGTATGAGTTTATTTGCCATTTGTCATAAATGACATCAAACTAAGCATGACCAGTCGACATGCCGTATTTGGACCATTCCTTGAAAACAAGAAAGGATCTAGCAATCTTTAGTTTTCAGTGCATGTATTAAAATATTGTGATTTTCATATGCAGGGTTTGCTGAGGAAGTGGTGCCTCCTTCTCCCGTGGCTCGGTTTGTAGACGACCCGTCATTTGGATACCAAGACTTTGCGCGGCACGGAGAAGACAACCCACCCACTTTTAAAGCACAAGTACGAGAAACACCCTCAGATATACACATATAGGGCATCATTATTCTTTTTTATACTCTGTTTATGATGAATGATTGATCATTCTGTCTTGTTCACTTTGTAGGACTACACATGGGAGGATCATGGTTTCTCTCTGGTGAACAGGTTGTACTCTGACATCGGTCACCTGTTGGATGATAAGTTCAGAACAGCATGTGATCTTACCTATTACAACATGGCCAGTCACGAGGGGGTGGACACCAGCATGCTGCGCAGGGCTCTCTTCAACTACGTCCACTGTATGTATGGAATAAGGTACGTCTACGAGAACAGGCGACACTCATGAAACTCTGCTAATGAAAAATAATTAGCAGCCTAACATCACGAGCCAAATAAAAACAAAAAAGTTAGGCTGTTAAAAATCATGGTGGACAATTCTTTGTCACACAGCAAATGAAAGGTCAAGTCAAGCACATTGCATTCTGGGATACAGTATTACACAGTGTGCTCTAGTGTTATTTTAGTATTATTTATATTTTATATCCTATCATTTACATGCGTCAGTTATCTTGTATTTTCATCATTTTAATTTTAGTTAAAATTTTAGTAATTTTGTTATTTCCTTTTGTCATTTTTATTAGCTTTCGGGGTTTTCATTTCTATTTAGATTGTGTTTATTTTATTTCAGTTTTTGTTTTAGTAATTTTAGTTCTTCAGCTTAAACTTATTCCATTTCAGTTAGTTGCAAAAGCAGCATTTCTAATTCTAGTTTTAAGGCCCGTTCACACCAAGAACGATAACTATAAAGATAAAGATATTAGCGTCGATATTGTCTGTTTATTCTAAGCGCACGCTCATCTGCCGCTTTAAATTCTCCAGCTCTTTATAGCAGGATGGATTCTGATTGGGTGTCAATAGCCGGGTTTCCATTCAAAGTTGCAAATTTAACTTATGCGCAAAACTGGAATATCGCATAAAACATTTGCGAACCAGCATCGTTTCCATCCAACAAGTCAAAGAGAACAAAATCGTCACTTCCTGATAAACTGGCACTATAAATCACTAAGAAAAGTAGGAGAATATAATAATTTTCATATATAATAAATTACTTGCGCCTCAGAGCGAGACATTTCTGGGAGGCAATTATACAGAAATACTTTGATGACAGACTTTGCTCGTGCATTTCCGAATGACCATAACAACATTTCAGATGCTGTGGAATGAGATCGGTCCGCTGGTTAGTCAGGTTTTGCCGTCCCACAGCTCAAAGTCACATGACTTTTTTGATGCGCTTGGAGGAATTTATTCACGAAATGCATTTCCATCTCCCATTATTCGCATCAACTCTTTTTCGCACAAGTCAAAAAACATCTCAAACGAGCGTAAAAACTTTTTTGCGAATTAAGGGATTTTTATTCGAAATTTGGCGTTTCCATCACTCGTTTCTCATACGATACTTCAAAATGCGCATTAAAATAGAGTGATGGAAACATAGCTAATGTTTGTATCGTTCATCAGCTGGAAAAAAATCGTTCTGAAAGTGATTCCAATGATATCGCTTCTCTGTGCCTTTATCGTTATAGTTGTGGTGTGGACTCTGCTATTCTTTAATATTCAGAACGATTTTTAGAACTATATCTTTATCATTATCTTTATAGTTATCGACCTTGGTGTGAACGGGTCTTTAGACATATTTATTTTAATATTATATTCTATTTATGTTTCAGAATTTTATTTCTGTATTTCAATGATTTTTAACAGTTTTAACAATAACATCAATGGCGTGCTCTGTTGTATACATAAAATTTTGTCAAATGTCATCTGGGTCTTCCATGCATACAATTACTGTACACTGCAGAAATAGTAGTATGTGACTGTAGTACACAGTATGTACACCCATAGCGCCCCCTAGTGCACTAGCACAGGACGACCAGAAGTACTGAAATCCAGTCTTTCCTGCCTAGTATTGAAAGATGAACATTAACACTGTGTCTGCAGATATGACGATTATGACTACGGTGAGGTGAATCAGTTGTTGGAGTGCAGTCTGAAGGTTTACATCAAAACAGTGACGTGTTATCCAGAGAGAACCACGCGCCGCATGTACGAGAACTACTGGCACCAGTTCAGACACTCCGAGAAGGTGAGTCATATCATCATGTCAAATATATATTTTTATCTCATTTAATCAATTTTTTAAAATTGATTTATTATTCATTTATGATTGAAAATATAGTTTCAAAAAGTATATGAAATATACTGATATTCTCTTTCTCTTTCCTTCCTTTATCCAGGTTCATGTGAATTTGCTTCTAATGGAGGCTCGAATGCAGGCAGAGCTGCTCTATGCTTTGAGAGCCATCACTCATTATATGACCTGACCAATCAGACTTCGCCATTTATATGACCCGACCAATCAAACCTCACCCACAATATATGGACATCATTATTATACCTAAATTCAACTAAAAATGTTATTAGCAATTACTTTTGCGTATTGAATTCTTATAATTGTGTCCAAAATTGTGTGTACTTAGACTGTTCTGAGTGACAACTAAATGAAGAACACTGAATACAGAGTATAATCCCAAATATCAAAATGGGATCTAATGGCATGTTCAAAAAAATATTCATAAAGAATTGTGGGTGGGCAGTCATGACTTTATCTTTCATGGTCAGACAAACCCCAACATTAAAACAGACTCAAATCCTTGGACTTGACCTGATCAATCAGACAACATCATGACTTGACAAATCACGTTAACGTGCAATATTTTTTCCTCACTGAAATCTCACTTATACTGTAAGCTGAAATACTGGAGGACTGAGTTCACATTTTGAAACAGGAAGTTGTCTTTTTTTCTTTTTTGCACATCTGTATTTTGGAACAGAGTACAGTTTTCCTTTTGTAATATCAATAATAGAATGTGAGACTCCTGTATGGAGAGAAAAATTCTTTTTTTTTTGTTAAATCCCTGTGCCTTTTTTTCTTTCACGTACCTTGTTTATTTCATATTGAATGTATTGTTTAGATTTTTTGCAGTTTGTTTCTAGGCTTTTCTCAGATCAATTTGGTTTGGTTTAGTTGTTTACCTGGAAGCTTTTGTAGCATTATTACTGTACTATCAGTCCTTTACTATTTCCTTTCCTTTCAGCCTCAGTGTTATACTTTAGATAGCAACATACATTTTTAATATACATGTTGCTGCAATAGCTCTACTAATCACATCTCATGATTTTATTTCCGTGTGAGTGCGTGTGAGAGCTTTAACATGAAGCTGAAGTATTTGCACATCTGTTGCACATCTTTTTCATTGGTGTGCCTCTGTGAAAGAAACCCATGCACAGGAGCATGAGAGAGTTCATGTGTGTGAGTGATTGCCTGTAGGGAGCTACTTTTGATACTATTGATGTGATCATTACTGTCCATCAAACCATTTCTCAAAGGTTTATTTATATCGCTCTAAGAATCATTGCTTCATATTTGCACAACTCTAATCAAGGTGCAGCATCAGTGTCCTTTAAAAATAGATTACGATTGTGTCTGAAACAAAACGTATAGTGAAAAGATAAGCTTTATAGAACGAGACAAAGTGTTGCCCGGTCCAATCTCACGGACAGTGCCTTATTCATGTTTAGAAATGCAGGTTAGATTTCATTTAGTCGTATGTATACCAGAGATTGTTTCGTATGTATCAATGGAGAAAGTAAATCTGTCTTCAAAGTGCCTTTTAAACTTAGTTGCAAGTGTTTCAAAGTGTATGCAGCAGATTCAATGGCAAACGTTTTTTGAATACTAGGCATATGTGTTCTGTTGCATTTCCTACTTGTACAGACCTGTATGTTTCAATAAAGTTTCTAAACAAACTTAGTTTATGAGTGATGCTTTTTGTGCAGATTTTTCATATGCAGAAATTCATATTTGGCAAGTATGGCAAGTCATATTTGACCTTCCGTGTGACATGCTATATTTAATATAAATATATACATTAATATTATATTGCGACATGCAGTTTTAACCTTCCTTTTTAGTATTGTATCATTTTAATAGTAATAATAATAATGATACTTAAGTTGATTAAAACTTGTGAACCTTCCTTTGTTTACATTTCAACCTAATGTATAAAAATGCTAAATATTTTTAATTTTAATATATAATATTAAAATAATATTTATTACATGAACAACAGGAATGTGTAAGTGAACTGCAAAGGATAAAATAAAAGAAAAATGACAAGAAATGGTGACTAGTTAGTTTCCCAAAAATATATGCTTTCCTTTATACATTGATATATTTCAACCTATATGTGAAAAATAAAAATTCTGTATTTATATATATATATATGTTAAGACCTGTGTTATCTATTTTATTATTTCAATTATAATATTAATATTTTTTAAATAATAATCATTACATTTACTAACCACAGGACTATGTAAGTGAAATGAAAAAAAAAGAAAAATTTAAAGAAGTGGTGACAAGTAATATCCCCTAAAATATACACTATCTTTTACAGATTAATCTAAAATTCAACATGTATGTTAAAGAGAAAATAAATTAAGAAATTTAGTTTACACATTGGACAAGTTTACTATTTTTTTTAACTTACAGAATTTATTGTCTCTGTTTCCTCAGTGCATTCAACTAATCACTCCAACCAAATTTTCATGTTATTAATTGATAATAACTGATAATGACCATGTTGGTCAAATACTATTTATATGTAGCACACAAGAAATTCATAAAAATGTATCCAAGCTGCTGCTAATATTGGACCTTCAACAGGCCAACAGCAGGCCCATATTTAGCAATAATATTTCACAGAATTTGTCATTTTTATATACATGCAGCCATCTCATCAAGCTCCTGAGCCCTTGATTGGGATTGTTCAGACAGCGGGTTTGGCATGGTGATGTCCGGCAGCAGATGACAGCTGGTAATGATGTCGATCTTCTCAGACACTGACTTCAGGTCCTCCAGTATGAGCCTAATGCTGTGGGACGCGTTGATGATGCCTGTCTGAGAGTTGTTGAGGTGAGCGGTGGCCTGTCTTATGTCCCGTGCTGCGTTCTGATACACCTGTTTCAGGCTTTGATTGACGTCCATGCACAACCGCGCATTGCTCTCCTGCAGTTTCTGCTGGAGTAACGAGTTAAACCTACCTGAGTCAGGTCTGGACAGAGGCGACGATCTGTCCTCCTGTCCGGACGCAGTCGCAGGTGTGTTTCTGATCACGATGAGAGGAGGCAGGTCTTTGCGGAGCATCTGTTGATGGCTTTCTAAGGCTAGTCTGCGAGCTCTCTCCTCCTCGTCCTCGCTGTCGGTCTCGGACGCCTCTCCTGCCACCTTCATCCCTGATGATGATGATGATGATGCATGGACAGGAGGAGCAGAGGTGATGCACACTTCATCATCCGAGTCCGTCTCAGATGCCTCTCCCTGCACCACGATCTGGAATTTGTTGCTTGCCATGATTGCACACCTGGAAGATACATTTAAATCAGTTTTACAAAAAGTACTTTACCATGGTAAAATGATAATGTCAGGCGGTAATACCATCGTATTTTAATGTATACCATTACAAGAAATTATACTATTTTCATCGCATTTACACAAGGTACTTCAAGAAATATCATAGCACTAGCTTGGTATATATCCATAAAAGCTAATTAACAGTTAGGTCACGACGTATTTACGTAGTGTTGTAACATTATCATACTGTTTTGACACTTTTTAGTTAAGTTATGATAATATTGTCTATTTTGATACTAATTTTGCACAGTAGCTGCTAAAGCAATATAAGTCAAATGTGTGCATTTTTCTAACCTGCTGGTGTTTTATCCACAAACACCAGGTCCAAGTGTCATAGGATTTGTCACGAGAAACCAGTTTGAAACAGGAAGCATCAGAAATACGATGGAAATGGAATTCAAAATAAAAGGCCGACCGATGAAGCCTGTGAGAATTCAAAATAAAAGTTCGAAAGTGGGAATAAAAAAATAATAATAAAATAATAATAATAATAATAATAATAATAATAATAAATAATAAAAGTCCCCTGCTCCAAAACCAGAAGAAAATCACAAGAAATATTGCCACAGTTATACTAATAAAGAGTGAAGACACGACTTAAGTAAAAGTTTCTCAAATTAATTAATCCTAAAATAATTAATGACATGAACAATGCATAGTATTAGAATAATAAATAAAGTCTGATTATCTAGTGAATAACAATATTGCTCAGAATGAAGGTGTGATCAGAATAATCTAAGCAGAACTTTGCTCACTGGTTGCTCATTTACAGCAGAGACTCTCACCCTCAGAGTGAGTGGTGATTATCTCAAGACAGGAGCAGTACTTCCATGAAAACAGATCTCACACACCTGCAAAGGTAAACAGTGCATACAAAAATAGTGCTCTTTTGACAATAACATAAAGATTATATTATTATAGTGTTCAGTCTGATAAAGGTACTGTATTTACATCCAACTTAAGGAAACACTGAATCTAAAAAGATGGAGACTCTGAAGCATTGGATGAGGGACTGGAAGTATCCCACTGCTCTGTTATGCATCTATGGGTTATTCAGCACAGTAAAGCCTTTAGAACCATTTCTCATCCCATTCCTAACTGGACCAGACAAGAACCTAACCATTGAGCAGGTATAGTGACCTTTCAAGACGTTTAATTATTAACACAATGTTTTTGGATTTCAGAATCTCATTTCAGAAACTCATCATGACTCATAGAAATCCATGTCATATACTCTGAGCAGATCTTAAAGGGATAGTGCACCCAAAAATTACAATTCTGTCATCATTTGCTTACTCTTATGTTGTTCCAAACCTGTATAATTTTAAATACAAAGAGATATATATATACAGTGCCGTGAAAAGGTTTTTGCCCCCTTCCTGTTTTTTTTAATTTTTTGCATATTTGTCACACTTAAAAGATTCAGATCATCAAACCAATTTTAATATTACGCAAAGATAATGCAAGTAAATACAAAATGCAGTTTTTAAATGATAATTTCATTTATTAAGGGAAAAATGAGTGTGTATGTATATATATATATATATATATATATAAAACATGTCTCAGTGTTTTTTTCTGTACAATAAAATTCAGTGGGCTCCATTGGTGGTTTGAACTCACTGACTTTAATTGTATGGACAAAAACCATTAAGACAACACATTTTAAAATATGTTTTGTGTTCTACAGAAGAAAGTCATACAGATTTAGAATGAGGGTGAGTAAATGATGACATAATTGTCATTTTTAGGTGATCTATCCCTTTAATTCTCTGCAAATTCATTATAGAGAAAGCATAACCTTTTATGGCTGTCAGTTATTGTGATATTGTGAGTTAGATTTGTGCAATAAAAATATGATACGGTTATAAAATATGCAGTGGATAGATAATATTTAAACATCTCTATTTGGCAAGTTGACATTACATTTTAAATAGTAACAGCTACATGACATGCTATAATTAATCTAAAATTATTATAATTAATTTTGTCATATATTGTATTATTAGTTATTTTTATATTATTATTTCAGTATTATTGTTTATATGTATATATTTTTCTTGTTCTTTAGTAATTGAACTAATTAATTATAGGCTACATGCAGTTTTTTGAACACTGTAAATTAGTTACTCTGATTTTGGTATAGTTATTACGGAGTTAGATTTGTAGAAGTATCTATACTGCAGTGAAATATGCAGTGGACAGAAATAATATATATACATATATAAAATCTGTATTTGGCAAGTTACCATGACATGTCAAATAGTTACAGCAGTATATTTAATCTACACTTATTAAAAGCATGTTTAAATTATATTTTGTATATTATTATTTAGATGTTAATATGGTTACACTTCATTTTAAGGTGCCCTAATTATACATTTAAGTACCGAGTAATATTAATTAACTGCATGTATTTACTATATGGTTAGGGTTTGGCTTAGGGTTATGTAACGAATCAGTCCACTGAAGGCGAGCGTAGTGAGAACCCACGTGCAGATTTATTCAAAAAAGGTGAAATCCAAAATCCAAACATAATCCAAACAAGATACACAGACTTGACTTGACGAGGCATGAACAGATTTGACGAGGCACAAACAGACTAGACTCACCGACAGCGGGTTACAACTTCAATACATGACAAGGCACAATGGGAACATGATGGCTACTTATAGCAAACAAGGAGGGTCACATGACATGAACAAACCAATGGGAAACAAGACACATGACTAAGACTACCAATCAGAACATGACACA